TTAGACCCCCCCCCCCCCCCCATTTATTTATTAAAATAAATGCCACTTTGTTTGATGTTTTGTTTTTGATTTACATTTTTAGATACAACTTAAACCTCAAAAATGAAATGCACTCACCCTCAGGCCATCCAAGATGAAGATGAGTTTGTTTCTTCATCAGAACACATTTGGAGAAATGTAGCATTACATCGCTTGCCCACCAATGAATCCTCTGCAGTGAATGGGTGCCGTCAGAATGAGCATCCAAACGGCTGATAAAAACATCACAATAAACCATACCACTCCAGTCCATCAATTAATGATTTGTTAATCGACAAGCTGCGTGTTCCAACATTAAGACGTTTTTAACTTCAAACCGTTGCTCCCATCTAAAATACGAGTTCTCAGTCCATAATATTGCTTTCTTTAATGAAAAACTCGTCTCGCCTGAATCAGGAGAGAAATATGCACAGATCAAGCGCCATTTACAAGCAAAACGAGTCCAAAACAGTTCTTAACAAATATGTCAGAGGATTTTGATGTTAGAGAACAACAGGGCATGGACTTATTAACTTGAGGAAGCATTGTTATGGATTATAGACTTGTATTTTGATCTGAAGCGATGGTTTAAATTGCCTTGATGAATTTTTTGATTACAAACATGCAGCTTTTTGCTTCACAAGATGTTAATTGATGGACTGGAGTGGTGTGGATTATTGTGATCTTTTTGTTTGGACTCTCATTCTGATGGCACCCATTCAACTGAATCCATTGGTGAGCAAGCAATGTAATGCTACATTTCTCCAAATCTGGTCCGATTAAGAAACAAACCCATCTACATCATTTTCAAGGAGAGAAATATGCACAGATCAAGCGCCATTTACAAGCAAAACGAGTCCAAAACAGTTCTTAACAAATATGTCAGAGGATTTTGATGTTAGAGAACAACAGGGCATGGACTTATTAACTTGAGGAAGCATTGTTATGGATTATAGACTTGTATTTTGATCTGAAGCGATGGTTTAAATTGCCTTGATGAATTTTTTGATTACAAACATGCAGCTTTTTGCTTCACAAGATGTTAATTGATGGACTGGAGTGGTGTGGATTATTGTGATCTTTTTGTTTGGACTCTCATTCTGATGGCACCCATTCAACTGAATCCATTGGTGAGCAAGCAATGTAATGCTACATTTCTCCAAATCTGGTCCGATTAAGAAACAAACCCATCTACATCTTGAATGACCTGAGGCTGAATACATTTTCGATACATTTTCATTTTTGGGTGGACTTTTCCTTTAAAGTATTTTTGTATTTATGCATAAATGTACAGTATGTGTTTGCATTTCACATTATGTTCTTTTTTTCTCTTTTAGAAATCACAGTGTTTTTCATTTAACTCTGGGGAGGAGGAAGACAGAGAGGTAAGCCTAACTCGACATTATAATGCAAGCAGTCAGCAATTCAACCCTGAACATCAAGCTTTTTAATGCTTTGTCTAGCCATTTTAGATACATTACTTTCAGTATTCATAAATATTCATTAATATTTCATTGCCAAATATCTTCAATTGATTTCCAATAAATATAAGAAGCTTGTGTGCTCATATCAGGTGATATCTAATGAATCATATTTTATAGCACTATAGTAATGTGTGCTTGCTTTGACTTTATGTGCATTTTTTTACTTCTTTTAAATGTTTTGCTTGCCTTTTTAGTAGGATGGACATTTGCAAGAAGAGGTATTTGGGTAGCTCCATGTTTTAGATGTAGTGTAGCATTAGCATAGAACCCAAAGCCTTCTCATTCCTGATTGGATAATGCTAGATGAATCGGGTATTTTTATAGTATCAAATGATTGGAACATTACAGAAATTTAAAGAAATACACTTTAGGGCTTTGTAAGATGACATTGTGTTGAAATGGTTGGAGAATGTTTCATGGGAATCGATGTGGTTCAGAAACAAGTCAAAAATGATATCTTTTGCAGCAGCGTCGGCGCCACGGGGGGGGGGCCTGAGGGGGCCCGGCCCGGCCACCTTGGTCACTGTGCCCCCTCACCTCTGGTGCCATCTCCGTAGTGGGCGCCCTGATTTTAGTCAGTGAGGCAAGGTACTGCCCTGGGAAGGTCTCCCAGGCTGTTAAATACACCGATTAAAAGCGAAATGTTTTCATTTCGGTTCGTTCTTAGCAAAAAAAAATTTTTCCGTTCAGGTTATGCAGAGCGAAATAAGAACAGTGCTGCATTTAGAAAGAATTCTTTTTAACTTTGCTATTATTCTTGAATTTTCAAACTGCTAACACTTTGCACTTTGCCGTTTCGAATTATGTAAGTAACTTAAAATGTTATTGTGTGTTTGTCATTTTAACATTTTTATCTATAGGCTTATACAGCAAAACTACAGAGCTTCCAGTAGGTTATTTTACGGAGCTGTAAACACGGGAAACTCCGACCGCATGCAATCTTTTGAAAAATTTGAAATGTATGCTGGTTTCCACAAAAAATATTGTGCAGCACGACTGTTTTCAACATTAATAATAATCAGAAATGTTTCTTGAGCAGCAAATCAGCATATTAGAATGATTTCTGAAGATCATGTGACACTGAAGCAATCTTTGACGAACACCCAATTCATATATCAAACTAGGCTATATGTTATTAAATTGTACAAAGGCTATATATCAGATTATTTTATTTACAAGTGTCATGTTTGTGTTTATCCCGTTTTTTCCCCCGTTGCATCTGAAAATTACTTTCA